ATAATGGCTGCTGTTATTTTTGCCTCATTATTCATAGACCTTTTGAGGATTAATTAAGCAATAATTGTGAACAGGCTAGATTTCTTATTTAAATGTTCCAGATCAGCAAGACAATGAATAAATAAGACAGATTTTGCTAGGGCCTAGAGTGTATTAACATTGTCTCATTTTTCATTAGTTTGATACTGAGCTTTTCTTTCAGTCTGCTGCAATTGCACAGTTGTATATAGAAAAAATCTGCTCCCAAAATCAAGTCGGTAGTTTCAGGGATTTATAAATATTGATGGCTGAATGTGGCTCCTGTTTGCATCATGACATTTCATAGTGGAAGAGAAGAAAATTCAGCATCTGGGCAGTGTATCAAGATCCCTTGTCACTAGCTTTTTTTTCCTCCATTCTTCAGCGTTTCTTTTGTACCTTCATAAGGATAGTGACATTTTTTTTTCCTAGAACTGAACCTATTTGAGAAACAAATACTTTGCATGAATAAAGCCAATAGCTGACTGATAATTTTATGCTATGCTTGTTAAAAAGCCTACCTATAAACATTACCTTATGCTGTGCTCTCAGACGTTGTGTTGTTCCATGGTCTTGATCTGAGCTGTCATAGCTGTAATAGCTCAATTATGTGAAGCAGGTGCTTGAGTTCTTCGCCAAGTCTGGAAATAAGGGGTAAATCGTGTGCGTGTCCCTAGAAACTGAACTATGTGATTTTCTGTTTCTGCGAAGTTCATCACAGAATGGAAGATACTTTTGTGCATTTGTGTCCTGCTGAGCTAGAGGTATTCTTCAAAACAGAGATGCACAGAGCATTAATCCATTTTTCACCCAAGTTCTTTTATTCCAAGGAAAAAAAAAAAAAAATCATCCTTATGTTAAGCTGTGGTCAGATTAGATACCAGAAATTTGAATACTAGGGAGAAAAGGAATGGCTGCCATAAGAAATCAGAGAAAGTTTATATTCACTCTGGAAAAATTCCTATTGTACCTATGCAACTGGTGACATCTCAACATCTTAGAGCAGTTGTTGTCCCAGATAGGGACTTTCGTGTGTTTTTTTGGTTTGTTTCTTTTTTTTTTTTTGAAAGCTTGCAGCTTGGAGGAGAGTGTCTGAACACCAGTCTGTGTCCAATAAGTGCCTGTGTAATGGCTTTTTCCTGTAATGAGCAAACATAGACATTTTATATTTTTCTATCTGTATACTTCACTCTGTCTAAATATCTCTTATAATATAATCTCACCCTGAAATCTTGCTATTATGACAAATGCTGTAATAACTAGAGAGAGCAGCTAACCCTCTCATTTATTCCTTCATGAGAAAGCAATTCTGTTTAGGAGATATGGAGGGATGCAACAGTATTGAGTAAAGATATTTATTTTCTCAGGGTAGTTTTAACTATACTACAAGAGATGTATGAATAGATGGAAAAGAATTTTGTTGCCAAATGTTGCTTAGTGGTATGGAGCCATGCAGGCTTAGAACTTAGTCTGTATGGCAGCTCAGTTGTTCGGTTTTGCTTCCTGATACTGGTGAAGGCTATATAAAAGTACAGTCTATGCCTATAGATGAACTGGCTCTTGCTGTGCCCGATTTTGTCCCATCTGTATGGCTGTGTGTGTGTGTGTCTGCATCTGTCTTTCCTCCTCTAATTATACCCTTCATTATTCACTGTCTGAATGCAGCCTGAAAGTCTTACAGGAATTTTGTGGAAATGAGTGTCCAGACAGGACTGGATTCCAGAGAGGAATGGATTCCTGAGTTCATACTTCATTAGATCATGGGGAAGCCACATTGTGGAACTTGTTGGATAGCAGAGTTCGTTAACTGCATTGAACTGAAAAAACAAGCTTTTGGGTTCTTGATTTTCAGACTGCCAACAAACCTCCTAAATCAATTAGTCACACAGCTGTACCTTCAGCGCATGTTTTCCTGCTGCTCACAGGAAGAGGCCATTTTATTTGCATCTAATTATTTTTGCATTCAGCCTTTCTTGCTAGCTGAGGCAGGCACTACTCTTCGTGGGTGGATTAGTTCCCAGGTAGCTCCTTAACTTTTCAGATCTTTTGTATTCCACACTGGATACATGCACTGACATCAGCCTCTCACCATTGTTTGTATTGCTATCTAGTACACTTGTTGAGGAGGTGGCCGTATAGACTTCCCCTGAAATCTAGAATACTACTGCGTAGGGCAAATAGAAGCCCACTTCTTCTTCCTATGGCCTGATCTCTCTGTGTCTAGATTCAGATGAAACTTCAGAATTCAGCTTGAGTTGTTTGGATACATTGATTTTAGTAAATTGTTTATGTACATGCTGGGCTATGTGTGTGTATGTATTGCAATCTGCTGTGTATGGGAGCCTAGCTTGGCTGGGCAATGGGCCTTAGCACCTGTAGGTGGTTTTCTTTTTCGGGTATGCTTGAAGTTTTACGGCTTGGATTCTGTCCTTCCTGAGAAAAAATTTTCACTTGTCAAGTATGCTGGCTGTCAAGTGCCAGCAGGAAGAGGTAACCCACCATGATTTGTATTGTGAAGTACCTGTATTATCGTAGAAAAAAAAAAATGTATCCAGATTTTACTGTTACTAGAAGTGCCACTGCAGAAATTTGTCTGAGATCCAGGGGTCAACAGATGTTTTCCATTTACTAATGGCTCATTTTTTTAATCTCAGCTTTAAATCAGGAGAGAAGAACCTTTTCCATTACATTCCAGAGAATTGTGAAAGATGTGGAAATCAGATCACTGCTTGGAAATCTGTACTTCCACAAGGAGTTATGTGAAGGTAAGTCCATTGCCTATTACACATGTAGACAGAATTCTCTTTTTTCCTGAGTAAGAAGAAATTTCTTTGCCAACCCATTTTATCTTTTCAGTCCTACTGGTTCTCGCTACAATGAAGTACTTGGGACACTTTTTTTGAGCCTACTACTGCAGTTGTCACAAAGACAGTGCCTAGTCCAAGGAGATTCTAGCCCTTCTTTGTGAAGGTGAGAAGTACTACTACAGGGGCATCACGTGAGTGGTGAACTTCAGGTGCCAGAACTGCCACACAGTGAATGACCACCACCTGCTTACTGTGTGCACAGTCAGGAGCCAGCAGGTATTAACCACACGCTTAGTTTACAGTCCTAGCTATAAAATTAGGATTTTGGTCATTGATTTTACTGAGCTAAAGCTGAACATTGTATTTATCGTACCTACCTCCTAGCCATCAGTCAAGTGTAGGAAATAAAAGCGATTTATACAGAATGCTCAGCTGAACGTTCTTCTGTTCTCCCACAGTTTGATGTTATTCTTGTGTGTTTGGGTGTGTCCCCCTTTGGCAGCTTCACCTGCTCAGCTCAGCTGAAAGGGAAGTATAGAAAAGGACTTGCTGCTGAGCATGACAGAAAACTCTCAGGATGTGCATTTTCATGATGTTACTACAAAGTATGGATTCCTATGGAAAAAGTCTTTGCTGGATTTGCATAAGGAGCAGAAGTAAATGCAGCAGTTAATGGGGAGAAAGTTTGCTTGCAAAACAATCTAGAAATTGATTGTTGTTTTAAATCTCTGTGAATCCCTCCTTTAAAAAGCTGCATCAAACTTCCACATTCCAGGGCACAATACAGTAGCCTGTGATCCTCTGCAGTTATGCTTGATGGAGAAGAGTACATCCTTTATTGAGGCCATTTGGTCAATAAAAAATAACAATCCTTTTAGTGAGATGAATCATTTTGGCACCTATAGATTTGACATTGGGAGAATCCATTTATAGATGGTTTATACCACCTTTATTGGGAAGACTCATCTGGGATGCACTTTACATTTCCTCACATTAAGCTTCTATCTTTGCTGTAGTGATCTCTTTGTGTGGGGTGCAGGCTTTGCATCTGTGGCTGTTTTGCCCATCTGCTAATGGTTGCCCAGGCAGGAGGTGGCCTTATTTCAAGGCTTGATCTGAGCTACCCCACAACTTCTTGGCCACTTAGCAGGATATTTGGCATGGGGAACTGCAGAAACCTTTCACTTAGCCCCAGGTTTTGCAGCTGTGACTTACCTTAGAGATTTCTGCCCTCCCTTTCAATTCAGATGAGTTTGTGCAAGCAGCTCAAATACTATTAGGAGTGCCTTTTAGGCTGTCACAGTGCAACTGTGCAAACTCATGCCCTTAGAAAACCACATCTGGAAGTTTCCCGTTTCAGTTAAAGGGTAAGAACATAATAGGATCTTCTCACCACAGCCAAAGGTAGCAGGGCATTCTGTGGAAGCAAAATTGGAAATTCTGCCTCTATCTCTGTCCTCCACTAGTTGTCCTAGGAGCAGCCTGAAACCTGACATAATTTGGTAATTTCATTCTTATAACTTTAGCTACCCTTAATGACCTTTAAAATTGATTTGCTTCATTTGCTTTGGTTTTAAGAGATTACACTTAAGTAATGCTCTGCTGCATTTAATGTTTTGTTGTATTCTAATTTACTGTGTAATGACTCTCTATATTAAATAACAGTAACAACTTCTGAATTTATTAATCAACAAGAGATGACAGAGAATTCACATTAAGCTCTATATATTTTGAATCGTTTATCTCCCAGGTAACATAAGAAAACTGTTAAATCATACTGAACCGCATTCCTCAGCTGATGTAAAACAGCTAATATACGGCAGCTGAATTTCTTGCCCATTATGTTTTCCATAAAAGATGTCTTTGCCTTCACAGCATCAATTATCCATGATTCTTCTACTTTTCTTGTTTTCTGCCTTTGCGGGTGCTGCTAATTCCCCTACTTTCTTCCAGGAATGGAAAAAATGATCTATATTAGGAAATGTGTTCTTCCTTTCTTCAGTAAGCTGCATTTTCATTTTTGGCATCCATATTTAAATTCTGATGTACATACACATATGAACGATGTGAGTTTTACTGCTGACAGTTTTAAGTCCTACCAAGTATCAGCTGTGTAGACTATTTAACCCCTTCTGGGCTTCACCAGAAGACAATACATTTTTATTGCAGGAGAAGAGAAAGGAATGCAGTTTGTCACAGAGGTCTCCATCAGGAAATAATCCTTATCTTCAAGTCCTACCATCCAAAATCAGTTAACACTGGTAGTGAAAGACGCGCTTAGCCTGGATGCTAGAGGTGGGTGAAAGAAGACCTCGGAGTAGCTCATTCCACTATCTCCTGGCACTGACAGATGCACCAAAAGCTCCCACCTAAAGGGACATGGTTGCAGAGGCTCCTTTCTCCACTTCCTGATGCTCTCTGTGGAGTGAAGCCTGTGATATCTGGGTATATCTTTTCCATGCCTCCCTGCTGGAGTGGAGGGTGGGCATTTGAGGCAGGAGCAGGGTGAAGCTCATCCCATGCCCACCAGTGGTGACCTGCATGTAGCAGGCATGATCCATACCGTTGCCCTTTCCTGATAAGCCTGTTTGTGCCACTCATTACCCTACAGTGTTTCTTGTGGGAACCACGGGATACACAGCCTGGACAGAACAGGGCAGAAGATTAATCCTCCTGTCGCTGCTAGATTTTAATTGGAAGGGAATCTGTCTTTGACTTAATTTCCTCTCTTGTCTCAGCCAAAGTCTAGTGGATCAAAGAAATGCAAATTGAAAGAGAATATTTTGGATGTGCCTGATTTTAAAGTTGAACATGATTAATCTTTCGAGCCTCTGACTTAATGTCAGTACCATTTTTCTCACAAAAGCATTGGAACAACTTATATTGCCTTGAGTGACAAAAAGAATTTTTTCCAAGAGAGGAAATCTGAATGATGTCGTTGTAGTATTAAAATGTAGCTACTCACTGCTTCATGTTATCAAACCTGAAATTATCCTTTACATTAAAATGCTGTATGTTTTATTTCGTAATGAGAGGGCAAAGATCCAGTTGCTACAGAATGTCAAGGTAGTGCATATAGGCTGCCATAATATAGCAGGGTGCTATTCACAAAGAACTTCAACAGGCTGATTATCAGATTATTGGCCAAAGCAATTCTGTAATATTTTTTTTTTCCATTTTCTTTTTTCCTTTTATTTTTCTTATTATTTTGAATTACAGCGCTAGGAAAATATTTCTCATGTGGTTGAGTTTGACTTCCAACATCTCTTTATTTGGGAAGAAATGAATTCAACGGTTCTTTTTAGTGCTTGTGAAAATGAAGGATATTTGTGCCTGCACAACAAGAAAGGTGATTTAGGTAAGTGTCTCTGAGACAGCTTGAGTTAATTTACCTCAGGCTTGCCATGACATTCTGCATGGCTTTGCTTCAAACCCCTTCCAAGAGAAAAGATTTGCTCTTGCTGAGCTGTATCCAAGTAGAGGGTGCTTTTTTTGGTGTCCTACGTTGCGGCTCAATAAAATGGGAGAGGAAAATTTGCCATTGATGGACCACAAATGGAAGGAGAAAAGGCTTGTTTATTTATTTGTCCCTGTATTCAGACTGGGGGTAATGAATGTCTGTAAGGATTCTCTGTACCGGATCTTATTGCTAGTTTTCCAAGAATTCCTCATTATCAAAGCAAATGAGTTTTCTACGCCACTACTTGCTTTCTGGTAGTAGAGCCTTACATATTGACTGACATGTCGATTGGATAAATGTTCAGCCCTCTGCTCAACCCTTGCTTGCAGCAGCCCACAAGTACAGGTGGAAAAAATAAACAAAAACTTTCTTTGCCACTGAAACCATACAGGCCTGATCACCTTATGTGTGCCCTGTGGATTGTATCAATTAAAAGCTGACACAAGGGAAAACATGTGAGGGCAAATGCTGTGTTTCCATTCCTGTGACACTTATTTATACCTTGGGAGGAGTAGCTTGTGCCTGCTCTCTGAAGAGAGCCATTCCTTTGCTCATGCAGTGACATCTCGCAGGCCAGCTGTGCTGTCTCTGAGATGCTAGTTATCAGCTCTTACAAATGTGGAAGAAAGCAACAAAATCATGACAATGATAAATACTGCTTCTTTGCATACTTACATGATGCCAGCCCAGTTTGTGAACCAACAACACTACTGTAGTCTGGCTCCAAGTAAACAGAGCTATTAGCAATCATACTAGGCAATCAGTTTGCAGGTTTGAACTGACCAGTTGTTACAGAAGAACTTTTTTTTTCTTTTTTTTTTTCCTGGACTCCTATTATTGCAGAATCTCTGGTGAGCTGTATTGCTGCTGCTTGTGGCTAAAAGCAAAAGTACATGAAGGAGGAAAAGAAAGGACCATGAAACAGAATGTCTCTCGTTCCCAGCTCACTATAAATGTAGCAAGTGATCCCTTAGGCACAGGAAGGGCCCTGGTAGGCTGGTATAGCCCCTGTGCATGCCATCTGCTGAATTTCAAGCCTTCTTCTACTCCCCTATTCTGCAGTATCTCCTGTAGTGTACGGCTGCTTTTCTACTGAAAGCACTGCAGCACACTGCTAGCCCAGGTTATCAATTTGCTAGCACTTACTACAAAAAAAAGAAGGAAGGGAGTGCATTGCATAGAGGAAGATGAATGTCCCTTGCATCTGTATAGTTATAAGCTCTGTGTTGTGTATTTGTGAGTGTAGTAGGACATTTCTCCAACTTTTTAAAACTGGTCAAGACAACAGCCCTAATTCCTGTGTGTTAAAGATGTGGATATTTGGCCTTTTTTAGTTCCAAAATGCCATTCTTAGGTGGAGGCAAGCAAAACTGCAGCACTGGAGTCACTGATGTGTTTAATGCATTGAAGGAGAGCAATAAATTAAAACATGGTGTATATACTATGAGACGCAGGTCTCAAAATGATGGACTGTCATGGAAAGTGGGAGCGAAATAGGAAATTCAGACCAAAGAAGGACATTAATAAAACACTCAGTGTTTTATTCTGTGTCAGACAGTTTCTGTTCCATCTAAACCGGCGTATTTCCTAAAACAATACTGTTTAAGGAGGCAGCTAGTCCATCAGAACATCTTCCCACTGCTGAGTATCATCAACCCAGAACTTTGTTCTGATCAAAAAGGTAAAAAACATGAGCATAGAGCAAGGATTGAAAGAAAAAAAATAAGTGAATCCCATGCCCCTTAACAACAATACAAGTCAAAGCAAAGTCATAGCAGTGTAAGAGAAATTCACAGAAAAAAAAAAAAAGCATTCGGAATCTTGGAGACGAACTAAGAGGAAGGTGAGTGAAAGAGGTGTTCCACCAGGATGGCATAAGTTTTAAATGGTCATGCACTTAAACTGCTTTTATTTTGATCTGTATTTGTAGATGAAAACAGTTGCATTTGCAAGAATTGCAAGAATTGCACATACGATGATAATCTGATGTTGGGTTTTGATGCGTTAGAAGGACGCTGTAATAGACATCATCGTATCCAGCAAAGATGAGTGCCAGGAGGCACCTACTGAGTCACTAACGTTTACTATGCTCATTTTACAATCTTTTTTTTCCTAAATATCTTGTGATCTCAAAATTCCACTAGTTTAGATTATTTTATTTTATTTTGCAGTCGCTCTATTTGATTGGTATTTTTTTGAGGGAGACTTGCCAAATTCATCAGTGCTCATCTGGAAGCCAAAATAAATATCCATGTGTTTTGAAGAGCAGAAATGCTGGAATGCAGCTAGAAAGTAGCTCAGGGCTCCTGCCAGTCGTACTGGCTCACCACTATGAGGTGAGTGATGCTACAGCAAGCGTGTGCAGCCCAGCAAGGTTGTGTGATGGTGGCATTTGGGCTGACCTGATCTGTTGGAGATGAATTCTAGCCTCAGAACTGTGTACAGAGTAAAATGCAATTTAGAGGGCAGCAGGGCTGCTTTTCCTGAATGTTCAAATCCCTCTTGACAGCTACAGGAAGCTGGAATATCCACACAGCCTCCTTTACTAATACAATTGCATTTTCAACATTTAAACAACAGTTTTTGTTTTTTTTTTTTTCTGGGATAGAAAATTTCTCAAAAATTTTGGGGGGAAAGAAAAGCAAACCTTTAGAAAAATGCAGATAGAAATCTTTCATTTATGCAAAATGGAAGCATACTGCGAGTCATTGGAGAGAACCTATATTTTCTTGACAATTATAACAATATTAGGTAGCAGCGAAGGTTTCCAAGGCAACCTGGCCACGGGTGCATTCATGTGGAGTGTGTGTGACTACCTGCTTTGTCAAGCCAATGGATGGATGGCAGGAGATATGTGTGGTGGGGGGGGCTATGTATCATTTCATCAGTCTGAACTTGGAACACTCTTTAAAAGCAGAGGGTTTTTTTTCCTCCAGAGCATGTCTGATTGTACCAACTGTCTTGCTGCTTTTGTTTTCAGAATAGGCAAGACAAAATCGTGGGAGCCAGGGTGAAGGCAGATGGCCAGTGAGAGGAACCTGGGTTAGGAGATACCTTCTGGGCCAGTTAGCATGGGGCGTGCTTTGTAGGACCTGGCATAAATAAATACACAACACTTGCCCAAAATAAGCTTTCTCCTTCCTTTTGTGCCAAAACTAACACCAACCTGTTTTTCCTGATGTGTTAAACCAAAGACTTCCTCCTGACACCTTGGGTTTCTTGCTGTCTGTTGCAACTCTTGGTACCTTCTTGTCTTTGCTGTTGCTCTCTGCCACCTCTCTTTTCCAGATGGGAGCTTTCCTGGTGTCTCTGACCTTCCTGCAAAGTGTAGAAAGGGAAAAAGAAGCCACACAACATCTTTTCCTACATGCTGTTCTTCAGGATCTCTGAACTGTTGTGGCATATAAATATTATGCGAGCACGAAGGCAGGTGATGGTGAGGTGGGGGTCATCCTCTTCTCCCATGTAACTAGCAATAGGTGTAGAGGGAATGGCCTCAAGTTTTGCCAGGGGAGATTCAGGTTAGATGGCAGGAAATAATTCTTCTCTGAGAGTGATCAGGCACTGGAACGGACTGCCCAAGGAAGTGGTAGAGTCACCATCCCTGGAGGTGTTCAGGAAACATTAAGATGGCGTACTGAGGGACATGATTTAGTGGGAAATAGTGGTGATAGGTGGACAGTTGGATTGGATGATCTTAGAGGTGTTTTCCAATCTTGGTGATTTTATGATTCTGTGACCCCAGCTGTTGCTCTCCAAGAGTTACAGATGCAATTGACTTAGGAAAAAATGGTAAGGCTGCTGATACAGTTGTCACAAGAAGAAAAAGCACTCCCTACACCCTCGAGGGAACTTAGAGAGGACTCCTGCATGTTCTGGGGTGGTATTCATCAATCCTGAGAGCTTTCCAGATCACAGGTCAGGTGTGGCAGGGCTGTGATGGAGAGCAGCTGGTCCTTCATTTGAGCTGAGCTTGCAGGTTTGCACTGACACAACAGCAGCGTGGGTCACTGGGAGATGTTGTCACAGGCTGAGGTTTAACTGAGCATTTCCACTGCTCTTGAACAATAGTCCCCTTTACAAATGAATTTCGCTTGGGGGAAAAGCAAGGAGGATTCTGAATTATCTTTCTCTAAACCAAAGGTATTATTGGGCTGAAACATGCAGGTTCCTCTGGGAATTAACCAGTCACAAGAAGCATTCAGAGTAGCAGTTATTCAGGGATTGAAAGCTGCCTGCATGATCCCTCTTTCGGCTCTGGTATGTGGGCTCTTGAGCGCATTGAAACTCTGGCAACGTGCACAGCTGCATCCCCAGCCCCACGCTGCTTTTGGAGTAGCCATGGTTGCTGCTGTGCATGATGAATGTCAATCACACAACGAGTGCTCAGAAGAAAGCTTGAGTGAGAAATTAAGTTTCTGGGACTTTGTGTTTAGACTATTTTTCCTAACAGTTGCTTTTTACCATGGATTGCAAAACATCCTCTGTGCATACAGATGTGCTCACAGCTAGCCTGCTCTACAGAGTTCCCACTTTTATGCTTACAGCTGTGGTTCAGATGTGCACGGTGCCCGTGCCAGTGCATACACTGCCATCCAGAGGTGTGATGGCAGCACGTGCAGGTAGCAAGTGAGCTGGCAGCCTGGGACTCCCAGCACAGGTGTACTGTTGCTGCTGTATGGCTGTCTATTGCACCCAACTGCAGTGCAGACATCAGAGATTCTGCCTGCAGGATCCTCTTCTGAATTTGGTTGTTCAATCAACTGCCAAAGCTATACAAAGGGGAAATAAAGACAAGAGGTTGCAGGTCAGAAACTTACACAACTTGCTAAACCAGGAAAATGTGCTCAACTGCTTTTGCTGGGATATTTCATTGCATTGATCTCCAAGAGATACAGATGCAATTGGCTTAGGAAAAAATGGTAGGGTTGCTGATACAGTTGTCAGGAAAAGAAAAAGCACCCCCTACACCCTCAAGGGAACTTAGAGAGGACTCCTGCATGTTCTGGGGTGGTATTCATCAATCCTGAGAGCTTGCTGCTGCAAGCTGAAATTTCTGACATAAGCCAGTTTTTCTGCTTGTGGGCAAGGCAGGCGGCTTGGAAACAGCCAGCCCAGACTGCAAAGCCCATTTCCACTGAAAGGGGTAAACTTAAATGGTTCATTCTCGAATTAGCATAATCCCAAAGTGAAGTGCCCAGCTCTGCCATAGTGCTGCAGGTATCCAGAGTGCCAAAACTTGTGCCATGTCCAGCAGCTCTGTTTGTTGCAAGGCACTGCTGTTGCAAGAGATGAAGTTATCTGCTTGATTAGAACCTGGGTGAGCCATTCAGTTTGTTTAGAGTTTCTGATGTGCCTTTGAGTGTTAGAATTCAAGCATGAATATAACTGAGACATTGATGGCAGATAATTAAATTTGACAGAGGCTCTTAAGCATTGAATATGTTACTGAATATTTGGGCACAAATGATTCATGTACTCTTGGCACATAAATCCTGTATTGAAGACTCTCAACCACCTTAAGGCTATGCATTATTTGGCATTTGGCTCCCAGAAAAAGGTGTATCAAGCTTTCGTCTTCAGAGGTACAATCAAACACTGGATTGAATTGCCTTTCCTTTGTACAATATGGGGCACTTGACAGTGCTATAGAAATTCCATTTGAAAAATGATAGCTGTTGATTTTCTGCTTGCTGAGAATTATTAGTATATTTCTATCCTGCAAAACCAGCCATTAAATCAGCAAAATGCTTTGGCATTAGCACTACTTGGAATGTGAAAAAATACTGCTTCTTGTTGTTGAGCTGCAAATGTTTGGTTGCAAAGTTAAGGGAAAATCTAGGACAAATAAAGATCTTAATTTGAAAGACATTTTACAAGTAAACATGCAGCAGTTGTAGCTACAAATCAGATAATTGCTGAACATTTTAAAACCCAGGAGTATAAAATTAAAAACAAGAAAATCAAATTTAAGTGCAAACAGATAGCGGGAGAATTCTAAGTAGAAAGTTTAAATTCTTTCTTTTTTTATGGATCGTTTCTTTTTTTCTTGGCATCTTCAAATATTGCACAGTGGTCTTTATTTAATCATCTAGGTTATAATATTTAAATGAGCAGATACTTTAACGTAAAATGGTTTACAGTCAGTTTTTCTATTACTATATAAGAAAAGTACCCATGAAATGTAAAAAGGTCAATCGCTTCAATGAAATAACTTTTAAAAATAATACAGTTTTACAGCCATACATAAATATGTGCATTCTATTATGTCAAAGAATATGAAATTATATGGCTCAGTGTTAAACTGCAGCTTTTGCAAGGAGGATGCATTAGCTTTAAACTGGGATATATGATCACCAAAATGCATTATTTCTGCTTTGGGCTTCGTATTTCCAAGTAAATGGTTTTTATACTTCCTGCTTCTCACCTTTGGCTATTCTTTTCCCACCCTGTAACAACATACCTGTCAAAGTACCAATATGTCTTATCACCATGTGTACTGGTAATGTACAATTACGTAGTCTGCTCCAAAACTAATGCCGCCTAATTATTTCCATGCAAACTACAACAGATACGACATACATAATTACATTGTTTGGTAATTCACAGCTACAAAACACTCTTTTTTAACACCATCACCACCGTTACCTGTGTATCTTAGTCCATGATGAACAAGAGCCTGCATGCCACGCTTATAAAAATAGGCACAATCAGAGGTGACTCGCTGTAACCACTGCTGAAACACATCATATACCACCTCACTGTGCTCACATTCATTGTTGGGTCTCTATAAGCATTCAGCAAGCATTGATGAATGCCAGTGAGTGCATTTTTTTCCCACGTAGAGGAATTCAATGACACACTTCAGCTTCATGTGTACTTTCATTTCAGATGTCATTCTGTCAGACTGCCCTCTGCTCCCGTCTGTCACATGGCAACAACATGTAATGAAATACTGATGGGAAAGTTCAACCTCTGCTGCCATACCTCAAACATCTGCCTCTGATATAGTGGACCGATGTAATAAAAGAGGAGGCATTATTTTCAGAGCAGTCCACATAGGTATTGAGGGGCTGTAATGCTGCCCTGCATTATGTCTGGCTGTCCTGTGCCAGGACAATCAGGCTTCTCTGATGCATGTTTTGGGATAGTGCTGGTAGGTGAGTGGGAGAGCCAAGCTGAAGGGCGGTCCTGGTGTGGGTAGCAGTGAGGCTCTGAACATATCCCCAGGTGGGATGGGAACTTTTCTGGAAGGTGCAGGCAGGCAGCACTTAACTTTTGTGCAAAACTTCCTGAGATGGCAGAAGGAAGTGGAGAAGAGACCACGAAA